CAAAATGTCCTTTTGGCTGAGCGGGGAAGTGACGTCATCGGGGGCTCAGCCAATGGCGGGCGGCGGGGGTCCGCGCGCGCCCGTCCCCGCGTGGGTGGGGGGGGGAGGAACCGGGGACCCCCGAACCCCCCACCGGGGGGGGGGGCTTCACCCCAAGGTGACCCCGGAGCGCCGCCCCCCCTCGGGAGGCTCGGAATACCCCAGGGAGGGCGAGCCAGAGGGGGTCCCGCGGGGAGGGGGCGGCTGGGAGGGGCACGAGTGGGGGGGACACCGCGGGGGGGCACCTGGGTGGGCGTGGACACGCCTGATGATGTGGGGGGTGCAGGGGGACGTCCAGGACATGGGCACGTGTGGGGATACCCAGAAGGTGAGGGTGCATAGGGATGATTGGGGATATGGGGTGCAGGGGGGCTGGGGGACGTGTGGGGTGCACCCAGGACATGGGGACACGCAGGTTCGGGACGGGAATGGGGACACATGGCGGGGATGGGGACGCGGTGGGCACGGGACACTCAGGACACAGGGACACACGGGGCACGGACAGATACACAGATACACAACCACCCAGGGACACACGGACACATACATGAGCACGCATGGAGACACACGAGGACACAAGGGACACAGCAGGCACAGGGACACACCAGGCACGACCAAGGAACAGACTGAGCACAGGCGTGCAGCAGGTATGGGGACACTTGGGGACACACACGACGTTCAGACACAGAGGGGCACAGCCAGGTGCAGGCATGTGCAGGGACACGCCAAGCGCGGTGCCACACATGTCCCCCGCGTGTCCCCGTGCTGGGGTGGGGTCTCACCGGGTGTCCTCTGGCTCCGACAGCGGGTCCAGGGTGCTGGGCTTCTGTTCCATTCACCGCAATTCCATCAAGGAGCGCTCAGCACCGACCGAGGGGGCTCTGGCGCCACGCGGGGGCCACGGCGGGGCGGCCACGGCGGGGCGGCCACGGCGGGGGGCTACGCCGCGCACCCCATGGTGCCCCTCAGTGCTCAGCACCGCGCAGCATCCCGGGCCGGACCCTGCGGGACAGCGGCGTCAGCCCGGACATCCCCGGAGTGGGGAACGGGACCAGCCGTGGGGGACACAGAGAGGAGAGGGCTGTGAAGCCATGGGGTACCCCCAGGAGATGTGGCTATCAGGGGAGGGCTGGGTTTGAGTGTGCAAGGACGTGTGGAGCGTGCAAGGGCAGCCAGGGCTGGGCAAGGGCACGAGGGACGTGCGAGAACACAAGGAGGGAGCGACGTGCAGGGTGTGTGCGACAGCACCGGGGCTGGGCCAGAGGGCAGAGCGGGGTGAGAGTGTGCATGGAGGGCTGAAACGCACAGGTGTGCAAGGCTGTGAGAGAATTCAGGGAGCGACAGAGCGTGCAGAGATGTATGAGAATGTGCACGGGTGTGCAAGTGCGCGTACAGGTGTGCCACGCCATGGCAAGAGCATGCACAGGTGTGCAGGGCGTGTGTGAGTGTGTGCACGGGTGTGCAAGAGCAGGTGCAGGTGTGTGAGAGCGTGCACAGGTGTGCGAGGCTGTGGCAGCCTGGGAGAGAGTGTGTGCAGGCTTGTGCAAGGCTCTGTGAGTGTGCACAGGTGTGCAAAACTGAGAACATGCCCAGGGCTGTGAGTGTGCAGCAAAGCACAAGCACACACAGGGAGCTCCCCCCACCTTTGGGGCAGGGCTGGGGGGGGCCCCAAAAGCGGGGAGAGCATCGGGGAGGGGGTGCAGAGCCCCTCCCCACCCAGGGAAGCCCCTCGGGTGCTGTGCTGGGGAGCCAGGCTTAGCCCTGACGCGTTCATTGCACACCCCCAAATCTGGGGTTGGGGGTGACTCTTGGTGAGGTGGGCAACCTATGGGGCGGGGGGTGATTTATGGGGTAGGCGGCGACTTACGGGATGGGGGGCGCCGGGGGTCCGGGCGATCCCTCCTCCGCGAGCTCTGCTGTGGCAAAGACACGATGTGGGGGGGATGAGGGCACGGGCAGCACCGGGGGGCACCCCCCGACCCCCCCACGGCGCCCCGTGGAGCAGGATGGCAGCAGCACCCCCGGCTCTTGGCGCCCACCCCGTTCCACGTCCCACGGACACCCAGCACCACGGTACGATTGGGGGGTGGGGGTCCTGTTTGCACCCCCCCGTGACCCCTCGGTGACCCTCGCGGTGCGGAGGGGTGCGGGGGGCGCGGGGGGCCCTCGGCCCGAGCCCCGGGGGCGCGGGGGGGGCGGCGGCGGGCGCGGTGCCCAGCCCCGGGCTCCTCCGCTCCGCGCGGGGACAGCAGAAAGTAGGTCACGTTTGTCTTGGCCGCCACAGAAATTCCTCCGGCGGATTTAAAACGCGAGCGGACGGGGCTGGGGGGCCCCCGCGACACCCCCACGGTACGGGGCGCCCCGGCTGGTCTCCCCCAGTTGAGGACACCCTGAGCAGCGAAGGATGGGGTGGGGCGAGGGATGCTGCACCCATGGGTGCACAGAGCACCCTGTGCCGCACGAGGGGTTCGCTTCAGGGGTCGCCCGGAACGCCTGAAGAGGGGGCGTCGCCTGCACCAATCTCTTCAGGGAAACTGAGGCACCGCACCGCATCCCACCACCCCTGGGTTCACTCCCCACCTCGGGGGGGTTCACGGGGCCTGGGCGCCCCTCGCCGCAGCCTCAGGCCGGGTTTGGGGCCGGCGGTACCTATAGAGCCGGGGGCTGCAGCAAATGTTTGTTCCATATGGGAACGGCGCGCGGAGAACTTCCAAGTATAGGCACTGGCAGGGATCCAGAGCTCCGCGGCCCCCGCCGGGCACCGGCCCCCCCGCCGCCCCCCGCCCCTCTCCCCCGGGACCCCGGGCGCCGGCAGAGCCCCGACACGCTCGGTTGCATGTGTGGGGCTCGAGGTGCATCGACGTCGCGGTGGAACCGCCGTGGGGTGGAATGCGGGCTGTCCCCAAAGCCAGCGTGCTGTGGGTGGGTTTGGTCACCCCGCCTCAGTTTCCCCATTGAGGTGGCCTGGTGGGTGCAGACCCAAAGGAGAGAGGCTTAGGGCTAAAGCTGGCGTTAGGTCGGGGTTCGTCACCCCAGCGAGACCCCGGCAGCCCCCTGACACCCTCGGCATCACCGGCACCCTGGGATCACCCGGCGGAGCCTGCGGTGCCGCTCCAGGAACCGTCACTCGAGGAATCCCGGGCGCGCTGGGGCGGCCCGGGCAGACAGACACGGGAGGCGGCTCTTCTCGTCCTCCTCCTCCTCTTCCTCCTCCTCCTCCAGCGGGACACGTGTGATGAGAGCAGTCAGGTCTCAGCCCACCCTGCGCCGCCGGCACCCAAACCTGCGCGTCCCACCTGCAGCACCAGGTGCTGGGTGGGTGCTGGGTGGGAGCGGGGTGGCAGCCGGCGGGAGCCCCCCCGGCGCCCCCCCAGCCCAGCCCCACGCCCAGGGGAGCGTTTCTGCTGAGTCGGGTGGTTGCAGGCGGCTGAAAACAACCCGGGGGCAAAGTCCGGGGCTGGGCTGACGGCGGGAGCCACCTCGCCCCAGCGGGGGCACCGAGCACCCCGCTCCCCACAGACCCCACCCCCGGGGACCCCCGGAATGGGGTCGCCAGACAATGGGACGCCCCTCCACAAAGGCACTGACCGCCTCCGTGCAGCCAGACGTGGGTGCTGGATACCCGGGGCCATCCCACGGGGCCAGTGCCGTGTCCCTGCCCCCCAGCACAGATGGGCTCCGGGGGTCCCAGCACCCCCCCAGCCCAGCTGCCAGCCGGGTCAGGGAGGTGAGGGCCTAAGCGCTTTAGCCACGGTGCCAATTAGTGTGATTAACACGGGCTGGGGGCAGGGCAGACCCGCGGCCGCCCGCCAGGGATACCCGGCCGTGCGGGCACCGGGGCAGTGTCACCACAGGCATTGCAGCATCATGGTGGGCACCAGGGCAGCGTCTCGGTGGGCACTGGGGCAGTGTCACACTGGGCACCGGGGCAGCGTCTCGGTGGGCACCGGGGTGGTACAGATCTGCCGCTGCCTGACAAACCCTGGCTGCACCGGCTGGCACGACCGTGCACGTGGGAGTGTGGCCAGGCACGGGGCACCTGCCGTGCCACGGCTGGCAGCACCCGGCACACGCCGATGCCCGTGTGTGAGGCTGTGCCAAGTGCCACACGCATGTCTGCGTCTGGTGCTGCGCGCTCACCACACAGCTGTGCCAGCGCCCGGCACACCATGCCCAGGGCCACACAGTGCCCAGTGCCGTGGGCACGCGTGGCAGTGGGGACAGCGTGCCGTGCCGTGCCGAGCCGTGAGGCTGCAGGAATCCCAGGCATGCACAGCAGCTGGGCAGCCCGAGCAAGGGGGATGCCACGGGCCTGACATCAGGGCAGCCCACCCAGTGCCACGGGAGCCCTGCATGGTGCCCCCTCCCCACAAATGTGGGGTCTGGGCTGTGCTGTGGCACAGGATGGCTGAGCCAGGGTTTGTGTTCTCCCTGTGGCTCATGGCTCATTGAAGCCACCACTCGTAGGACAACTGGCAGGGCTGGTGACCTGTCCCGACACTGACTGGGCACCCAACGTTGTGGCCTTGAGCCTATGACAAATCCTGTGTCCAACGGGTCCTGCATCACCACAGTGGGGACCTGCACCATGACCTGCCCCCAGCCCCGCAGCCCCCACAAACCCCATGGGATTCCTAAGAACACTACATCCAACCAAGGCCACACCGGCCACTCCTTCCCGCTGTGTGTGAGCATTCAGCTGTGCCTCCTTTTCCCCATCCCGCTTCAGCTTCCCTTCCCACCGGGGCTGCCTGGCAGAGAAAGAGCCACACTCCCATATCCCCAGCCCCGTGTCCCCTGTGCCAGCACACAGGATGCGGCTCATCCCGATGTCACCGCTTGTCCAGGCCACGAAGGTCACCCAACAGGGACCCCTGAGCACCTGGTGTGTGCTGAGTGTGCCCAGTCTCAGCTCTTGGGGGTGGCTGCGGGCCCCGAGCCCCGCGGGGTGCCCCTGGCCCCAGGAGGTGTGCTGGGACGCCGGGAGCTATTCTCAGCCCTTGGCACGGCATGGGACGTTTCTAAATCGGGGGCTCTGGTTCACGTGCAGGGAACGGGGGGGGTGGGGGGGGGGGGGGGGGGGGGGGGGGGGGGGGGAGAGCTCCTGGGTCCCCTCCCGGGGGGGCCCTGCTTGAAAGGGGGAGGCGGCCACCACGAGGTGCCCAGCGTGGGCACCCACGAGGGGACACAGGGACAGGCACCGGGACACGGAACCGAGATTGCCCGTGGGAACCCATCGCCCCCTGAGAAGGGGACACCAGGGACAATCCTCGCAGTGCTCCTGCAGTCAGCCGACCCTGTCCGAGGGTCTGCAGCGCAGGGGACATCCCGAACGGCACCGCCCCGGGGGCCGGACCCCGCTGCGCCCCCCGCCCGCATCCAGCCTGAGCGGGGCCCTGGGAGCGCAGCCCGCGCCCGCCTTCGCCTGCACCGCGGCCCCTCTTCTCCTCCTCCTCTTCCCCCCCAGTCCGGAGGGGGACCCACGCGTCCGGCCCCGCCTCCACGCACCGGCGGCTGCGCGGGGTCCGGCGGGGCCGGGGGTCCGCGGGATGGGACCCCCGGGGCGGCCCCGCCGCTGCTTCGGGCTCCGCTGACCCGGGAATGCACTCGCGGGGCGACGAGCGGAGCCGATGGGGGGCGGGGGGTTTCAGCTTCCTGCAGCCGCCGCCCGTCGGGAGGGGTCCGGGGGTGCGCCCGCAGCCCCCCCGTTCCCGCTCCGCAGAGTGCGGGACACCGGGTGTGTACGGAACCCGCGCTCGCCCCTCCGGGAGCCCGTCCGCGGAGCGACCACGCCGCGGCCCCGCGAAGGTCACGGCGGCGGGAGGGTAAGGGGTGCCGGGGAGAACCCCCGTGCGAGGATCCCGCTCCCCCGGCCCGCGGGGCCCGCACCGTTGCGGGGGGCACACGCAGCCGCACGGCACTGCCGTGGGGAGGGGGGGACGCGCCGCGTCCCCACCCTGCGCCAAGACCCCCGGGCAGGGGAGCCCCCCCCAAACCGGTTCCACCGGGGTTTGCCCGCGCCCCACGGCGGCCCCGGTCCCCCTAGCGCTCCAGCGGAGCCGCGGGGGTCCCCGGTGCCGTCGAGGGTCAGGCGGGGTGAGGCGCAGCCCGGCCTCCCGGTGCGGCTCCGGTGTCGGTGCCGGTGGCAGCCCCCGGCGGGGGGGGTCACGGCTGAAGGTCGCGGTCCCGGGGTGACCTTGGCCGTGGCGCCCGCCCGCCCCTGCCTCAGTTTCCCCGCATCGCACAGTGGGGACGCGCCACAGTCCGGTTGGGACCGCATCCCTAACCCCGGCGGCGACACCGGAGCGGGGGCAGGATCCGCCCCCCCCGGGGTTGGGGTGGGGGACATCCCGCGGGACCGCGGGGCGCCGTGCAGAGGGGAGCCCCCGCCCCCCCCCGCGCCCCGCTCAGGGCGAAGCCCCCCCCCCGGGGCTAGACCCCCCCCTCCGCCCCGCCGCACCGGGGACGCCCCCCCGCTGCCCCCGCCC